CTGTGGTCAGAGAGGGTGTGCCTGACGTTAAATCCTCATAGGTACTCTATAGATAGATTTTGGGTTCCCATTGTCCTCCGTAGCCTTCTACCAATTGGGTGTTTTCAATTTAGCCTTTGATGCCATTCCATGTATCACATTTGGGTTTTGTTATCTGTCATCTTTGGATCACACAGTTTGGTGTGCTTCTTCCATGTGGGTTTAGTTGATACCTCACTTAGATAGATGGCTTCTTGTTTGAATACAAGCCTTTAAAAACCCCACGTATTATTCTTTATGATAGCCAAGCACCATCTGCTTTCTTCACCACAATTTGCACCCATATCTTCAGTGATCTCCTCATGAAGGGGCACATCAAGCAGGGCCATGTCATAAGAACTAAATGTTCTTCTCTTGGGCCAGAAGTAAGTGGAAACCCACAATCCATTCACTTATCTATGGATTATGTACCACACTGGTTCACTTTGTAGGTCTCACTATCATTTGAAGATAAAGAACATTACTAATCATCCCCTTGGGGTATAAGGCAATTCCATTGATAACATCATTAATTTATCCAACGGCATAGAATTTAACATATTATTGAAAAAAGGAGGTTATACAAATATAATCCAGCTGCAAACCTCAATCCATGAATTGTTGATTTGTAAAGACTGAATTCTTAAATGATTGAGCTCTGACCATAGGATTATTGCTAGAGGGTAATTTCCATTAACGTTCATTTAATTGTGAAGAAGAACCCAGTTCATTCCCTGAGGTTTCCATGTCAAGTCCTTCTGGTGGGATGCCATGTTCCCCAAAAGGACAGAGTCTAAGAGCATTGTAGTATATAACCCAATGAGAAGGGAACCTTACTGGAAAATCAAGTCGATATCAGGGAAAGGGAGCACCTAGCTTTCAAAGAAGGCGTTTATACTCTGTTACTGGGTCCCTGGGGATGAGCAACGCCACATCAGAAAGGGATGCTCTTCTATGTTGCTCACTTTCCCAACACAACCCCTGAAGACAAGGCGGATGAATAAGCAAATGTGGTGAAGCAAGCTGATGGTGCCCAGCTATCAAAAGATATAGCGTCTGGGGTCTTAAA